GGGGGGGGTCGGGAGCTTTTATGTGCTATTTTCTGATTGCACATAGACAACGTAGCCGGCCTGGTTGAATTACCCCCGTTTTTGAACTGGGCTAATCAGAAAACATTGCTGCCGAAGACCACCAAACCCCCCAGTTCTATAAGCCTGCTACGGAGGCTAGGCACTGGCTTTGTGCCTGGAATGCCCGAGGTAGAGGGAAGTAGACCATTTCCATTGCCAAAGGTGGGTGATTCATTTCGAAAACTATGTGAAGGACGATCAAGAGAGCCGTTTTTTCACCACAGTTCATCTTTAGCGAGGGAAACACAGTCTGAAAATATACCTTCCCTATATATATATCCTACAAATTAAAATCACCCCCGACGGTGGCCGCAATTCTTTCCCAAGGCCATGGTCATATGACCCTTTTTATAAACTCAGCAGATTTGCCTTGGTATAAGCCATACCCCCCCCCCACCCCACACACACACATACCACGACTACTCTGCTGTGTCTATGATGTAAACCCCCATTGGTGGTATGTATATATATTCACGACACAGCATGACCCTACACTAACATATTAAAGTATCAAAGGCGGTATCAGATATACGCCACCCCTGCTTTGGCCTGAGCCCCCTTTGATACCCACTCCCCCTCCTGTACAGATTACCGCACTGAACACAGCTGGCCTCCGAATACCGAAACAGGCAAATATTGCCAGAATGTAGAGCTGAGCAAAGAGGCTTCCAGCATCTGGAAAGTCTTCGGATGATTTGACTTCCGAAAAGATCGGACGGCTGAGCAGGCCTACCGGGCTCTGTTAGTTCTGACTCGCGGCCAAATTTATTTTCTTGATCCACCACACACCGTCTCAGTGATGAAAAGAACTTCAAAGCTATCTAGTTTAATAAACTAGCTAGAGATACGATCGTACTTTATGAGAAATTCTGGAATAATAAACAAAGGAAACTATTACACAAGCTGACTAAATACTACACAATCCTTCCGCGATTAGCCATACACATGGTGAAGCCCTGTGAGTTATGCACACTACAAATCGCTTACATTCTTACAGCAATTATGTAAGACTAAACAAACAGAAGGGAATCCGAACGTTCTTACCTGCATGGCGACCACCACGGCCAACACGAACACCCTACACAACTCCGCCGGAGCAGGTCTTCTCTGGTTCTTTAACTGCATCGCGGCACGCGAGGCTTCCAAAACAACGTCTCCGTCCAGAATTCCGGACCAGGAATAAGAATCTCCAACCCGAAAAGATTAACCAGAACCAGACTCTGTATGTACGGTGCGCCACTAGCTGCACGATCAGAAAAACGTGTTCTGACTTGAAACCACCACGTACAAGAAGTACTGCTTTATACCATCCCTGGCCTTGCTGTTCCCGAGTGTACGGCACGCTTTTAAGCTCCAAATTTGACCGCGACCCGCAGCTGATTTCTAAGGTATCTGCCAAGCTCGTCAAACCTTACAGAGACCCTTCTCGCGCTGAAGAACCGCGTTCTCTCGCGTGATAAACTCCAGCAGTACACCGAGGTACGTACTACTCCAGAGCAGAATCCACACACACACGTCTCCCTCCGGCAATCCGATTTTTCCCCTTCTTCCAAGGAACAGATCCCTACCGCCTTAAAGGAGCAACGCTCCCTGACACTGGGAGGTCAAGAAGGTCACTGCCAATACCCCCGTCTTAAGGTATCTGCGCTCCAGCTGGAGGGGCTGAGGATCTTGTGTGCTCGACAAGCACGACCTCCTTTCTTGCAGGATCCTGCAGGTGGAAACGCTCCCTCCCTTTTGCTGTGTGCAGAGACGACTGGAGGTATCTCTGTACTCTCCCTACAAACCCACAGACAGGCAGAGAACGGTGAAATATGCGGCCCAGCCGTGTAGTTATTTGTGTAAGCCGTGAGTAAAGCTTGTCTGCGGTGGACAGAGACTGCTTGCTCAGCCGACAGTCACTGTCCGGGAAGTCAGTGGAAACCATTCCTTCCTCCAAACCCAGCTGAAATTCCAGGCTATTCCACTTCCAGCACTCTCCCAACGTTTCAGTCTCCAAGAAAGATGTAGTTAGCAGCAATGCGTAGGAGTTGTACAGTAGGTGGGTGGCCACAAGACTCCAATGGCGTTTGTCGTTCCCAAATCCTCCACAACCACACACACACACACAAAGGCAGTGAGCACGTACTGAGAGTGAAATCCGACGAAGCGAAGGTCAACACAACTGGAACATCAGAACCGTTCGCCACCCAGCGTCGGGCAACTGACCTAGAACGCAAGGCTCCCCCGTCACGATTGGTCCAACTGTACGAAAGACCACAGGTACAAAACAACAATGCTTCACCGGGCCATTTCTGAAAATTCGTTCTCATTTCTGAAAAATGGGTGTGTGTGTAACGGTGAGAAGAAAATGTTTAACGGAGAGAAATGGGTGTGCAACAATGAGTATTGGGTGTGGAACAAAGGGAAATACTCCGGCGAAGCCTTATAGTATTGTACCTATGGTCTGTCGTACTGACTGAGCCGTCACAGGTTGAACTGATTGTTGGCGCGACTTCCCTTACATCCACCGGGACCGACCGCAGAAAAAAATACCGCCCTGCCAATTAAAAACGCGAGGCAGCAAACCGGAAAAACACGCCAGTCATGCCACAACTAGTCACTCACGAAACGGTCGTGGCTACTATAACAAAGGTAGTCTCTACCAGACTAACTACGCTGGCTGTATATATAGGAGAACATTTGCCAGGGGAGTTTGGCCGCCTTGTAGGTTTGACTGGCCGCGCAGGAGGGAAAGAAACTACCTCCCCGCGGCCGGACTCCCCAGGCCAATCTTTTTTTTTTTTTCAGAAATCTACGATTCGTATTCCCGTAGAAAGGCCTAGTGGAGGCTATAACAAAGGATCTTCAAGTTTATGAAACTGCGGGCATGTTGAGTTGAAATTCTCTTTGATAAATGCGTTGTACTACATTTGAGTCGGCTGCCAAGCTGGCTTAATACATTACATATGTGCTAATACGTGTCTCAATAACGCACAGTAACGAAGGTTGTCGGCTTAATCCGTGATAAGTAATGACTCTACGGGCAAGACGCGGGGTTCCTCAAAAACGATCGTGGGGTTCCTTTAATTCAAAACTTCAAGGCCCAAGAACTTCAGAGCGAACGTCTTATGACGATACCTGCTTTCTTAATCTTAAAGACATGTCGAAGCTGTTAAGATTTTGACGAGTGTGTCTTTACTCCCTAACAACATGTCCCACCGTGTTATCAGATAACCCGGGCCAAAAATGTCTTCGTGAGAACGCGGAGTCCTGTCATCTCATGTACTAAACTCTACATGCACACAAGATGGAGGGTCTGCATACAATCGAGCTACCTTTAATTCAACGTTAATCTAATAGGAGAGAGAGAATAAGAGAGAGAGAATCTAATAGGTGTCGCGAGTCCTCCTGAAGAGTTGCTGGTATCCCCCCATCCAGACCCTCAGGTCCTGTCAGGTCCTTTCTTAAACTCTACACACAAAAAGAGCAATCTTGTAGGCTCGCCACCGTACATGGTACATCCATCTAGATCTAAGTCAATACCAGCTGTCTTCTGTGGACCCGTGCAGCTGCATTTGCACAGCTTGGGTAGCCAGCTTAGCCTGGATGCCAGGCTGTTTCAAGGGCCCTTCCTTGTCACGACTCCTCGGTTCAAGGGCAACATGCACATAGGGAAATTTTACGACAGCCCTCCCTGAGATAGACCATAGTATGTGCATACGTTTCTTTCCCTGATATAGCCGAAGGAATTTCATATTGAGAATCGCCCCGAATTTTATAGCCGGCGCTTCTGGGGTTCCCTTAAGTGGCGCTCGGACTCCCCGAACGCACGACCGTGGACAAGCCAGTTTGTTCTATGTCAAGAGCACCGCACATGCCACAACTCAAGTCAGGGGCGGTCCAGGAGATATCTTTGAAGTAATGTAAAAGAACGTACAAGAGTAGCGAGAAGGTGTGTCTGGGAGATATTTGGATATATGAACATGATCAACCAGAGAGTTGATAGACGATGACTTTATTGGCACGACAAAAATTACACAATCAATGAGTTTAAACGATGATCAACCGATTTATTCCCCAAAAATCTACATGCTCTTATCATACTCGTAAAACGTATTAAAAGTCTTCTCGTCCTTCCGAAAATAGTTTCATCAGGCTGGTAAGGTATAAGATATAGGTTTTTTTTTTTTTTTTTTTTTTTTTT